TTCGTAATCTGTAATTATATTTGAATAAGTCACCACATAAGGCTTGGAGTTTGCAACCAAAAGTGAAGCCACACCTCAAAACTCCTTCAGAAAATGTAACTCAGGCATTGAAAAACCATCAATTGATCCTCTCGACCTTGACAATTACGGATCCAAAAAGAAATGTATTTCACGCCAAAAAAATAGTGTATTTTGTAACACATTATCTGGACCATTTATGTGTTTACAAATCCGCTGGATGTCGACTATCTTTGGAGCTTCAAAATCTATTATCAAGGGCCAAAATAGTTTTGCAGGCCATCAGAGGGGCTTCGGCACTAGAATCACATTTTCCGGCGGGCCTATTGAGATGCTACATTACTTATTAACTTAAAGCCTGGGCGTTATGCTAACCACACCTTATATGTAAATAGCACATTAACAGTTCATAATGATGGTCTTAGTTTTGAGAGAATATATCCAATTAAACCATTCATAATGCTCTTTAGTTTGAAAGAGAACCTATGAAGTGACTTGACATAATTTCGTATCATTCAAGTTGGACCAACCACCTGTTTTCTCCAACTCATAAAATAGAAACGAAAAGAATGCATTAAAATGAGTTTTGTGGGGTTAAATGTAGAAGTTTAGCACCTTAAGCAGATCCATTTCCATGTTTTGGTTTCATTGTTTCTCCTTCTCATTGGAGGCAGTTTCGTTTCATAAACTTGTAATGTGCTCCTTGCTTGGTTCTCAGCAAACAGAGAAGAAATAATGCCTTCAGCAGATTGAGATTCTCATCATCTCATGCATAAATGTGTTATCATGAAAAAATATGTGTGTGAGAGAGAGAGAGAGTTCCATTCTCAAATTCAATGATAGAAACTTGTGTGTGCATGTGCGTGTGTGTGTGAGAGAGAGAGAGAGAGGGAGAGGACATAGCTACAATTTGAACAATATGCTCAGTATAAACATCAGCCATAGATTCCTTGGTTTAGTATGGCCTCTCTAAAGTATTACTTGTCAGTGTAGCATATTGTTACATTTGCTACATGTTAGGCGAAATCCAACTCATTTCGTCCGTGAGCCCCTACTTTCCTCTGTAACTCTGCTCGATTGACATAGGGGGCGAGGCAAGATAGACGGATCCTATCTTGACTTGCGCGGGACTTGCCCTGCTACGACGGGCTGAAGAACTGACTAACAAATACAAGGTCAGGGAAAATTTTCCAAAAATACTATTTTTTTAAAACTCAAAATCTATTTGTTTGTCCAGATTCATGATTGCCGTGATCGATATTATTGACCCTGAAATTTTTAAATCTGAAATCCATCTTGGAGATGATTACTGAGGGCCGACACATATAAACTGGTATGTTTGCTGACACACCAAAACCTCATCATAAAGTAATTATCCATGAATCAAAGTCTCAAACATCAGAAGACTAAACGCACTTAGTAGCTGACGAACGGCCGGGATGGAAGGGATTCCTTGTTATCTGCTGGCACTGCACCATGTGGCATGTGATAGCAGCCATGAAGCTTCGATCCGATGTTTTGCAAGACTATTCACATGAATTATTCTCTGGAAAAATCAAATCCAAAACAACAAAAAAAGTTCAGGTAAAAAATGAACACCCAAATATTTCAGAGAAAAACACAGAATGTATCAGACAAAAAAGAGATGAAATGATTAAAACTAGTGATTAAAATTGGATACAGATATGAAAGTCAAAATTCACCATGGGATTGACATATATAAAATGACAAAAATATAGATCAGATTAGTGATTAAAATTAGATACAGATATGAAATTCAAAATTCACCATGGGATTGACATATATAAAATGACAAAAATATAGATCAGATCACAAGATAAAATAAAACTAATTGAGACAAACTACTAAATCAGGAAATTCCTGATAATTGAAATTTTAAATATACAAATCATTCAACTGGAAAAATTTTACGAAAATTTGACCATAAACATCAGCCAAAAAAAACCAATAATTGAACAGTAATTAATTCTGAAAAGGATGCCTTCAAAAATTTGCATATATAAAATTTGGATTGGAAAATTCGAGGAAATCCAATAATATTAGCCAATTAGGACAAATTAAACTATTAAACTTCTTAAAACCAAAAGGAAAACCAGAATTGAATTCCTAAAAATAACTTAAAGGACTCACAATTCTTCAGAACAAACTCTACGTCTGAAAAAATTCCATCCTTAACATTTCAGAAAATAACTAAATATTCAATTCAATCAATCGAGAGAAACACAGAAAATCAAATTCTAAATTCTAAAATATTGGGTCGATTTCATCAAGTGAAATCACTCATAAAAACCCACAACAGGAAATAATTCAACCAGTTTTCCCAGAAACTCATATCCGGTCCTAAGTAATACAGAAGAAAAAAACCAATACATAAAATTGAAATTCGGAAATAACAAAATTAATGGGGGTCATGAAAATTTACCTAAAAATTCCAAATTCTTGAATTCTTGAATCAATTGCACGATTTAGCCTAAAAAAGCTTTCGCCTTTGAGCATACCCTATAAACATATATGGAGGCCTCTCAGTCTTGTGATTTTAAATTTTTACCCGCTTTTTTAATTCAATTTTTGCAGTTTTTTATTGTAAAATAAAAAAAGTTGGAGTTTAATTAGGTGTCTGGTTTGCTTGTCTGGACAGTACGGAACGGATAAGGCCACTTAAATTTCGGTGAGAATTTCGGGAGACGAAATATCCGGAGAAGTTCAGAAAACGAAGTATCAGACGAACGAAATTTTCGGTTTTTTGCTTGAGGAAGATGTCCCTCTGCTGGCAGGTATTTACCCAGTGAAAAATATATAAATAAACATTTATAAATAAAAAATTTACAATTGTTTTTGTCCACTGGATTTGTTACGAGTGTGTCATTGAACTAGACTCATAGTCTAGAAAAAAAATGATAATAAAATATTAATCGAAATTTTTCGATAATTATTCAGGTTGTCGATCAGGACAATGGACCGACATACCGGACTCAGGTACAAGGTTGTGTCTGAGTTTTGAACCCAAATGGTCAGCAGGTGCTAACAGTGTTCGAAACTACTACTCAAGCCCTATGCTCAACCGAGTCTAATTAGTACTGTAGCAACAAAAAAATATTAAAAAAATATATAAAAAAAAACCAAAAAAAAGAATTTGTATTTAAAGTAAAATTAAATAAAATATAAAAATAGCAAAAAAAATATTTGAAAAACGATTTTTTAATTGGGGTATTTTTTTAAAAAAATTAAAAATAAAAAAATATAAAACTAAATATTTATGGCCAAATGTATTATATACTATGAAACTATTGATTTTTAATACAAAAAGGTCACAATCACTTTTAACCATTAAATGTGAAATCAAATAGATAAAAGTATCTTGCAACATTCAAAAAATTTTATTTTAGACTTTGTGCCAAACAAAAACACATCCTCAACCATCCAATTTGAAATGTAATGGTTAGTGATGACTGACATCATTGCTTCAAAAATAAATAATTTTATTATATACACTGTCACCGCCCAAATACTTACCGAACTTTACTAAAATGATAGAAAACATAAAATAAAATAAAAATTACAAATAAATTTTTTATTTTTTAAAAAAAATTAATATCCCTAGGTGGACCCATTTCAAGCCCGAAGTCCTAATAACTTGACCAAGGCCGAGCTGAGTCGGCCGGTTTTTCATACAATGGCTGCTAATCATCAGTTGCTAACTGCTAAAGCCCAGCATCGACCTTTCAAAAAACCTAAAAAACGAAAAAGGGATCCGGTTTTCAGGTGGGATCCGGTTTTATGAGACAAGTTTGAGGGATGTCAGAAGCATGTGACAGTACCAAACTCTTACTTCTCCACCGTCCATTTTGGCTTAAGAACCAACCTTATTATTTGTGTCAGTTTCTGGAGACTCCTTCACAAGAAAAAAAGCAGTCGTTCAATGGAATAACGGCTGCAGCCTGTTATGTATAAATAATGGCAATTGCAAAGGGGTGAAAAAAACAAAACAAAAAGAAATTGCTGACTGTAGATATTAGGTATCAGTTTTTCTTCATAAAATACTCCTGGGAAACAAATGTATATAAAACAAAAAGTTATAAAAGGCTGAGGTCCTATACAGTCAAATTAAGCCATACCTCAAAAATTCAAGAATATGTTGTTTTGATGCTCAAATATCCTCAAATCAATCCTCTCAACTTCAAGAGTTTGAACATAAAAAAAATAGATTTCAAGTCTTGAAAATAGTGTATTTAATAATGAATTTTTTAAACCATCAGTTCAAGATTTTCAAGTGCTCATAGATCTGCTCAATCTATACTATTTTTAAAGCTTTAAAGTTTATAATTAGATATGCAAATAAAAATAAATTTTTAGGCAATCACAAAGATTTACAGTATCGAAACATCTTTTGATAACATTTGATGGAGTGCCTTAATCTAATTGTTCATGGCCTTAGCCTCATCCAAACCATTTACCTTTTTTACATGAAAGTCACAATTGCTTACAACCATATGATTGTGGAGTTTGATTGCTTGGATGTGTCAAGAGAAAATTTATTTTGAAGTTTGAGCTTGGTCCATAGAATAATTGCAACCACCCAATTTCACATTTAATAGTCAAGATTAATGTCTCACCTTGTACCAAAGGTAGATGATCTCATTTTATATTTTCTTATTACGAATACCGACTATGAAATTTAAAGCTTTAAAAAACATCCCAATCAGTGACTGCCTTTTGAACGGCCAAGTTTTCAAATAGGTTTTATTTTAACCATCCGATGTGAAATTTGATAGTTTGGATGTGTTGCAAAGTTCAAAAAAATTTCTTTGGAACTTTGAGCATGGTCCATGAAATAAATGCAACCACCCAATTTCACATCCAATGGTCAACATTAATTGTGACCACCCTGTACCAAAGGTGTGACCACCTCGTACCAAAGGTAAATAGTCTCATTATATACTTTAACTTATTTTATTCTTATTTTTTACCCGAGCTTCATTGTGAGATTTACACCCTAAATTTGAGCTTAATTTGATATATAGGAAAAAATTAAATTTTAAAATACATTGTGTGCTATCAAAAGTGTGACTTGCACCCAAAATATAAAACATACGATCGCGATTTTAGAGCGAAACCTTCCTATAAGCCACTAGGTATGGAAAAAACATATAGGCCACCCCTAGGGGTGTAAATGGGTTGGGTTGGGTCAACTATGAGGCAGCCTTGACCCGAACCCGAACCCGAACCCGAACCCAACCCTGCCAACTTGGACCCTACCCATAACTAACCCTACCCAAACCCAATCGATTCCAAGTCGATTTGGACCCAGACCTTGATTGACCCATTGGGTTTTGACAAAATCTAGGTCATAATATTATGGTTTTTAAAAGAAAGAAGAACATATTTTTTACAACTTTATATATAAAAAATGACAAGTCAGGTAAAGTATCGTCTTGCCTGACCGATACTCAATTAAGTCCTCATTGGACCCAAACCCGACTCGACTCGATCCTAGGGTCCATACTTTTGGACCAGACCTAACCCTCTATGTTTAGAAGCTAGACCCAAACTCCAACCCGAGTTGGGTCGACCCCTTGAGTTTGCAAAATAGAGCGGGCCAGATTGACCAGCCTAACTACCCTCTCCAAGCCGTTTGATATTAATGGACGAGTGGCTTCAATCACAATGTCACACTTAAGAACTATTTTGTTTCTAATTTTTCAATCACAATGTCGCTCTTCTCGTAGGGGTGCACCTTAAAAAGGTCAAATATTTTAAATAGAATAAAAATGATCAAGATCATTGTCGCTTTATTTGTCAAAAATGTCTCCATGAGTCGATGGTACACCCCCAAATTTATGTAGATATAATTTGTTGAAAAATTAAAAATAAAATACTCTGAGCTCTTCAGTCAAGTTCAATAATTTGTGGTGACGTTTGTACTTTAAAAAATATACTCGTGGCAATTTTTTAATGGGTGAGGTTTATATAGGTTACCTCTTTATACTATGGAAAGTACGTGTATCTCTAAAATTTGCTTAGATATATCATTTTAGGAACTTTACGATTACTCGAAGATATATTTTTATTTTTAATTATAAAATTTAAAATTCAAAAAATAGTACAAAATATATATATCCATAAATAACTGAAAATAGATGATCTAGATAATTTGTTACAAAGTACACTATTTTTAAGTTTTGAATTTTTTACTTGTTACAAGGTACACTATTTATAAGTTTTGAAATTTATAATTTTTGGGTGAATTTGTGGGTAATGGGGCCCTACCTTTTTGTAGAAATTGAGCCTAGGATATAGTGTTGCAAATCATCAAGAGCTAACCAATTAAGCCCTAACTCTTTTTTGTTTTGTAATTGTTTTCTTTCTTTGTGTCAGTAAGGTTAAGATAATCAACTCAAGGGTTCTCCAACACTAGAACACTATTGTGTAGGATTTTTGAAATGCACCTTAATATTAAAAAAAGGGGAACCCTAAAACATAACATAAACCATATGACAGTTTTATAAGTACACGAAGTTAATAAAATGATAAAAAATAGCACGTAAGTACTCAAAGTTAATAAAATGATATTAAAAAAAAAAAACAAGAGGACTTTTTAAACATAACATAAACCATATGACAGTTTAATAAGTACACAAAGGTAAATAAATGATAAAAATAGCACATAACTACTCAAAGTTAGTAAAATGATTTTTTTTTTTTTAAAAAGCAAGATAACTTTAAACATAACATAAACCATATGACAGTTTTATAAGTACACAAAGGTAATAAAATGATAAAAATAGCACATAACTACTCAAAGTTAATAAAATGATTTTTTTTTAAAAAAAAAAGAGCTAGAGATAACTTTAAACATAACATAAACCATATGACAGTTTTATAAGTACACAAACGTAAATAAAATGATAAAAACAGGGCATAAACTCATAGTTAATAAAATGACAAAACAAAAAAAAAAAAAACAAAAAAAAACAAAAAAAACAAAAAAAAACAAAAAAAAACAAAAAAAAACAAAAAAAACAAAAAAAACAAAAAAAAACAAAAAAAACAAGAAACAAGAAAAAAGACAAAAAAAAACTTCGTAGGATGGAGATGCGGGGTATCGATCCCCGTACCTCTCGCATGCTAAGCGAGCGCTCTACCATCTGAGCTACAACCCCTACATGAAAAGCATTGGAGAAAATATTATTAAAAACTATAACTTACTTTTCCTCTTTTTTAACTAATTAACCTTCATTCTCTCTAATCAAAACAGACTTTGGCCCCTTATGTTATTAGTCCTTGTTATCAAATTTTAGACGTCCTTAAAACACCTGGTTATTCCACCATTTTTTTTGTTGGGGGGAATATATCAAATTATGTCTAATTCAGCAATTCCGACTCATGTTCATGGGATGTTTTTTATTTTTTAAAAAATAATAAAATATTAAATAATTTATTACTTGGGACTAATTTTCCTTCTTTTTTATTTATTCATTCTACCAAATCTCACCTAATACCCCAACCTACTTTGTGCTTATTTTCTCTTGAATTAACTTTGCACAAGAAACCGTCCAAAATCTCAAAACCTATAAAGACTTGTTGGGATTGTATACAATGAGACCATTTACTTTTGATACAAGATAGTCACAATTAATTACAATCATATGTTGTGAACTTTGATGGCTTGGATGTGTCACAAAATTCAAGAAATTCTATTTTGAAATTTGAGCTTGGTCAAAAGAATAATTACAGCCCAAAATTTCACTTCTAATGGTCAAGATTAATGTGACCAGCTGATACCAAAGGTAAATGGTCTCATTCTATACTTTCCCTAAAAGTTTTGTTACATGTACATTGCCATTTAAAATTCTTTGGGTATTTTTGTTTGAGAAATTTATCAAATTATCTATATGATAATACTGTGCCCATATCTTTTGATTTAATTTCAAAAGATCCATAAAAAACACATGCTCTTAAGTTAGAATAGTTCGAAATAGGTAAAATATTGAATAGTTCATCTTTTAAGGATATTTTAATTAATTTGTCTTTTTATTTCAATTACTTCTTGTTAAATCAATAAATTACCATCATATCTTACAATCCTATGATTGAATTTGGGCTATTGGGTCCATCACACACGTATAATATTCAATCAGACAAGTGGGGATTGTCGGATCCCGGGTCTGGTTGAGCCTCTCTTTTTCTTTTTCTTTTTTGGCCCTTTCTTTACAATTATATACCCATATTATTGACAACAATGTCACAATAACCTACCATTAGGTTTCAAGCCGTATGATTCGTCGTTTAATAGTTAAAGCTGACTAAGAATTCTTATTGTATATGATCGTTAATACACCCAAACGTATTTTATCTCCAACAGTTTACTGGTACTGGTAAGGTTCAAGTGAACCCAGATCGATACCCAAATAGTGTTCTGGTTCAAGTTTTGGACCCAGACCCGACCCACGGGTCCAAATGTTGGACCCATATCCGGACCTGTGTTGAGTATACCCGAAGGTCCCTGGTTGGGGACTGGGTCCATTGCCACCCCTAACTCATTATATGTCGAATTGTATGGCTTGGGGTGAGTCATGAAGTTCGAGAATGTTTTTTGCAACTTTGCGTTCAATCAATGACACTCTTACAACCATCCATTTTGAAATCTAAGGGGCAAGAATAATTTTAGCCTTTTATATGTAAAAGGTAAATAGTCGCTTTGTAAAATAGTTACTTTTATTATAGAGTAGTTGCAAACACCCCAAATTGTTATATCTAAATTTTGACTATTGGGATATGTCAATTATGTACACAAAATTCCAAAGAACAAAAGACTTCTCCAAGTTGTCGGTATAGTTATTAGTTTATTTCAAGTCGTTCAAATTTCACATTTAATAGCTAGAAGTGACAGGGTTTTTTTTTTTCAAAAATCTTGCAATTATACTTCCCTTAGAATATTTGGGGTGGACTAATCATTTTTAAGGGGTTTAGAGTAGCCATTCTAAGCAAGCCCTAAGATAACTAGGTATCCGATTCCCCCCGTTACATTGAATGAATAATTATCACTTTATACAATATATTCTTATGTTCTTTGACACGTATGGTGCTCACGAGGGAGCATAAAAAAGAGCAGCTTAGGAGAATTTTTTATGGGAAAATTAACTCCACCTAAAAATCACTACTCGTTGAAATTTTTTCGAACTGTATGTCATATTTGAGCGGTTAAATTTCATATTAGATGGTTATAAGTAAGGGTGCGGTTTTTATAACCTTAAACAATTCAATTAAGGTGCACTTCCAAATTTTATTATAACATGTAATTTTTTTGCAAAAAATTCTTAGAATTATCTTAAAATTTATTTTCATATTTAACTAAAAAATTTAAATTAAAAAAATGGTTAAAATCAAATAGATATGTAAATATATAAAAATCTTGAAAATGGACGGTCTAGATAATGTGTTACAAGATGCACTATTTTTTAGACTCAAAAACTCTGTTTTTTCATATTCATACATCTC